TGGTCAATCAAATGGCAACTTCAAAACTCAATAAATAGATGCTCTGTCTTACATATTGGCAAAAAAAAAATCAGAAAATAAAATACAAGCTAAATAATCAAGACCTTATTGAGGATCTAAACTTTGTCAAGGTCCTTGGAGTACTCATCTCTAATGATCTAAGTGCTAGAGCACACTGTAACTACATAGCCAAAAAGTCATTAAGAGTTGTTAACCTAATCCTACGTAGTTTCTTCTTTGGTAATATCATACTACTAACTAGAACATACAAAACATTTGCTAGACCTATACTTGAATACAGCTCATCAATCTGGAACCCATATCATGTATCTGATATTAACACAATTGAAAAAGTCCAGAAATATTTCACAAGAAGAGTTCTCCGATCCTGTACTCATTGCAGAATACTTTATGCCACCAGACTTGAAACTCTAGACCTAGAAAACTTAGAACTATGCCTCCTCTGGTCCAATCTAAATATAGTATATAAAATCATACATTGCAATGTCCTACCTGCAAATGAATACTTCAGCTTCAATCGTAACAATTGACAAGAGCACACAATAGATACAAACTCAAGGTTAACCGCACCAAACTTGATTGCAGAAAATACGACTTCAGCAACAGAGTGGTCAATGTCTGGAATACTCTACCTGACTCTGTGGTTTCTTCCCCAAACCCCCAAAACTTTAACCTTAGACTGTCTACTATTGACCTCACCCCCTTCCTAAGAGGCCTGTAGGGGGCGTGCATAAGCACACCAATCATGCCTACCATCCCCATCCTATTGTTTCTTTTTATTTTTCTTATAAGTATCTATCTCATGTATTCAAAACTATGTTTATTCTTATAGCTGTATCTTGTAAGCGATTGACAAATCAAATAAATACTAAATACTAAAAAAGAAGGGCCTGAAACCCAATGCTTCAGGAAAGGATTGTATCCCAGTCATTTCAGCTGATAGACTGGGGTAAAATGTAGTTTTTTGTAGGGTAAAATATAGTTTCCTTAGAGCCAGCTCAACCCTAGAGACTACAAGGTCAGCCCCATATAGAATAGTGAATCAGAATACAGAATAATAGTTGAAAAGGATCTTGGAGGACTTCTAATCCAGCCACCTGCTCAACCAGGAGAACCTATATCATTTGGACAAGTGGTTGCCCAGTCTCTTCAGAAAAACCTTCAGTAATGGAGCAACCACAATTTCTGGAGGCAGGGCATTCCATTGATTAATTATTCTCACTGTTGGATCTCCCCTTGATAAATTTCTACCCATTACCTTTTGTCCTGCCCACAGGTGCTTTGGAAAATAGGTTAACCTCCTTTTCTCTGTGACAGCTCTTGAAATATTCAAAGATTGCTATCATATTACCTCAGTCTTTTGACTAGATATACCCAATTCCTTCAACTGTTCATCAGATGTTTTTGCCTCTGGCCCCCAAAACATCTTTGTTGTTCTTCTTTGCACTCTTCCTGTAGCCTCAACATCTTTTTTACACCATGGTGACCAAAACTGGACATAGTATTCCAAATGTGATCTTATTAAAGGAACATAAATTGGAAATGACTCTACCTATGACTTTGATACTATTCCTCTGTTGATGCAGCCTATGACTGCATTGGCTTTTTTGGCAGCTGGAGCATATACTGGTTTCCATTAGACTTCTGGATCCCTCTCACAATTACACAATTGAGCTACCAACTACCTATTATATACCAGTGCATGTGGGTTATTTTGCCTAAGTGTAGTACCTCACTATACATACATAAAAACATTTGCTAGACCAATACTCAAATACAGCTCATCAGTCTGGAACCCACATTATGTATCTGATATAAACACAGTTGAGAAAGTCCAGAATATTTCACAAGAAGAGTTCTCCACTTCTCTATTTGTTACAGAATACCTTATGCCAACAGACTCAAAATTCTAAATCTAGAAAAACTAGAACTACGTCGCCTTTGATCCGATCTAAGTATAGTATATAAAATCATACATTGCAATGTCCTACCTGTCAATGAATACTTCAGCTTCAACCATAACATCACAAGAGCAAACAATACCGTGTTTCTCCAACAATATGGCCTCCACCAATAGGAAGGCCCAGCATGATTTCTAGGCCCCGTCCCCCAAATTTAGGCCTATTTAAACCTATGCGTTTCCCTGCCATTTCTCACATTGTTCGTTAGAACTACACGAGGTGAAGAGAAATGGGGGGGGGAGGGCAGGGGGGATGGGGAGAAAACTTGCTTTTAGGAGTGCCCTGCAGGTAGCCTAGGCTAGAATACCCCGATAGCCGATAGAAGCTCTCCGAAGGCAGAGTCCCCAGCCACTTCATGGTGTGGCATGGCTGCCCATGTCCCCTCGCCTTTAGGCAGTCTCTTTTGGGCGATGGAAGCTCCCCAAGTGCAGTCACCAGCCACTTTGATCGGCCAGTAGAAGCAGCCTCGGGACGAGCGCACACACACACACACTCCCCTCGCCGCGAGGCCATTTCTATCGGTCGATGAATGCTCCCTTGAAGGCAGATTCCCCAGCCACTTTGGGGCATGGCATGGCTGCCCGTGTCCCCTCACCTTTAGGCAGTCTCTTTTGGGTGATGGAAGCTCCCCAAGTGCAGTCACCAGCCACTTTGATTGGCCGATAGAAACGGCCTTGCGGCGAGGGGAGTGTGTGTGCACTCACCCTGAGGCCGCTTCTACTGGCCGAAGTGGCTGGTGATTGCACTTGGGGAACTTCCATCGCCCGAAAGAGACTGCCTAATGGCGAGGGGACACGGGCAGCCATGCCACACCCCGAAGCGGCTGGGGACTCTGCCTTCAAGGGAGCTTTCGTCAGCCGATAGAAGCGGCCTTGTGGCGAGGGGAGTGTGCGTGTGTGCTCACCCTGAGGCCGCTTCTACTGGCCGATCGAAGTGGCTGGTGATGGCACTTGGGAGCTTCCATTGCCCGAAAGAGACTGCCTAATGGCAAGGGGACATGGGCAGCCACGCCTTGCCCCAAAGTGGCTGGGGACTCTGCCTTCGGGGAGCTTTTGTCGGCCGATAGAAGCAGCCTCGCGTCAAGGGGAGTGCATATGGGGTGCTCTAGGTGGGGGAGGAAATTAAGGCACCCCCGAAAAGACGGCCTAGCCATTTTTTCGGGGGTCAAAAAAAAAAAAAGGCCTGGCCTTATTTTGTGAGAAACACAGTAGATACAAACTCAAGGTTAATCGCACCAAACTTAATTGCAGGAAATACGACTTCAGCAACAGAGTGGTCAATGTCTGGAATACTCTACCTGACTCTGTGGTTTCTTTCCCAAACCGCAAAAACTTTAACCTTAGACTGTCTACTATTGACCTCACCCCTTTCCTAAGAGGTCTGTAGGGGGCGTGCATAAGCGTACCAACGTGCCTACCGTCCCTGTCCTATTGTTTCTTTTATTTCTTTTATTTTTCTTATATATATCCATGTTTTTATAACTATGTTTTAACTTATACCTATTATCTTGTAAGCAATTGACAAAAATAAATAAATAAAATAAAAAATAAACCTTTATCATCACTGAATTGCATTTGTTGGATAGGGCCCAGTGTTTGAATCCATCAAGATCTGTTCCCACCCACCCCCCAGCTTGGTGTCTTTCACATACTTGATGCATTCACCTTCCATTCCCTTGTCTAAATTGTTTATGAAGATTTTGAAGAGTATCCCACTGCATGCTTCTCTCCCTGTAGGTGTGGGATAACTGGTCAATTCATAACTGGTCAGTCAGTTATGAATCCATCTGGTATTGTCTACCCCACATATTTCTACTTTACCAAGAAGTAGGTTGTGGTTGTTGTCTAATGCCTTACTGAAGTCCAAGTTCACTAGGTCCACAGCATTTCACAGGTCCACTAATTTAGTTAGTTACTTTAGTTACTTTGTTAAAGACTTTTGTCTGGCATGATCTGTTTTTGACAAACTCACACTGCCCTCTAGTAATAGCTTTGCTTGCTGGAGCATTTGCCTACAAAGTTGCCAAGAGTTTGATACAACTTAATGGTTAAAACAAAAACAAAAAAAGCTTCTAGGTGTTCACAGATCTGTTGCATATCTATTCCAGGATCTTTCCAGATATTGATGTCAGGGTGATTGGGCTGCAGTTTCATGGATCCATTTTCCTCCCTTTTTGAAAATATGAACCACATCAGCTCTTTAGATATAGTTTGTTTGCTTGTGAGCAATAGGGAAATGTTTTCCACTGTCTTTGTCTGGGGTTTTCCCCCCCCCGTTTTTCCAGTCTAGCTTTCATCCTTAAGAATGCTTTGTGATCCTTCCAAAAACTAACCTATGGCTCCCTGATGAGCGTTTTGAAATCAGCTAAAGCCGATTAGATACTAGCTCAACAATATCCTTAGTACCTTTTTCCAAACAGCATCCCTTTACTGATCTCTCTTAATGTTTATTTATTTATTTATTTGTTTGTTTGTCAATCGCTTACAAGATAATAGGTATAAACATAGCTATGAATACATGATATGGATACATATAAGAAGAATAAAAAGAAACAATAGGACAGCGACTGTAGGCACATTGGTGCGCTTATGCACGCCCCCTACAGACCTCTTAGGAAGGGGGTGAGGTCAATAGTAGACAGTCTAAGGTTAAAGTTTTTGGGGTTTGGGGAAGAAACCACAGAGTCATAGAAACCACATAGTAATAGTTGCTGATTAAGGAGGACACACATTCCCATCGATGTTCAGACAAAATAACTTCCTGTTTATGATCCCCTTCCTTCCCTTTCCTTCCCTTTCCTTCCCTCCTTCTCTCCTCCCTTTCCCACTCTTCAATTCCTAACCCGGAGTTCGAGGAATTGGCTCAGAGATCGTACACCGCCCTTTTAGCTCGAAAGGGGTGGGTCCGTTTACGATTTCTGAAGAACTGCTGCCTCTCCTGGGTCGTTACCCCAGAGGGATAAAAAGCTCGGCGGTTGGATGGAGCCAGTCAGAGTGCGCTATAACCTGTTGTGCCAACATGAGCTGCCTAGCCTTCCGCACGACCTCCCTACTTGTCCTCTTCCTGCTGCTCGCCGGGAGTGCCTTGGAGACCCAGGGTAAGCTGATTTCTGACCCCAGGCAGGGAAGCTGCAGGGAAGAAGGCGAACAGGTAGCTGTCTTCCGTCGGGTGCTACCTGACAGCTCTGCGCTATGCGTTAGTATGCGCTGGTAGCAGTCGCTGCCTTTGGGCCAAGCGGGGTTTCTGAGGGGTTATGGAATTCTTCCATACCGCCGCGGTAGGTTGTTAGAGAGCGCGGGGGTGATGCGGTCACAGCCTCCCCACTCGTTTGTCGGGCTCCCTGTCTATTTCTCTGCAACTCTACCCACTTGCTTAGAGGTACGTCGTCTCCTAATCTTATCGCTGAGAACTTTGAAGAAGGCAGAATCCAATTTCCGAACCGCACACACTCAGAAACAAACTCTTGCAGGGGCATCCTATCACTAGGGAATGTTTTGTGCTTCGAAGGTGATTGCGCACTGCAGCCATCAAACTTCAAGTGTTTTCTGTTTTCGTTTAGCGCAGATGGGAAGAGAAAGTGGTGGTACCTGGGTAGTGCAATTCGAATATGAGAATGTAGAAAACTTAGCACTGGGCATCTGAAAGATCTCAGGGATCTTATTGGCATTCACATATAGAACTTAAGACTCAATGAATATTTAAGCACATTCACAGTCCCATTTACATACTGAGGTGGTTTCAAATTAAAGGGGCAAAATATAAGCTTCAATGAAAATAGCAAATATATTTATCAACCAAACAATTGATATAAGTTTTTCCACTTTAAAAATCCCAAGCAATATCACATATCACAATTATAAAAAGTACTACAAAGTAAAAATAGCCTGTTATTTATGTGTCGGCTGACTAAGATTGTCTGATAGTAAAATAAGGTAAATTCTAATTTCTATCATGGCCAAATTGACAACTCTTTTATTAGTAAAAAGCCATCATATTATACTAATTTGAAGGTCAAGTTATATACCATCAGTACGAGAAGAGTTTATAATTTAACTCATTAATAAATAAATCATGTTCAAATAATTCCACAATTATTTTTAGATTAGAATTTAAAACTATTTATTTCTCTTTCTACAAAATAATTTAAAGAACACAAAACATTTTAGAATTCTTTCCAAGTATCTTTCTTCGATGAATACTGAACTATTAAGTATTCTTTTCTTAACCAAATTAAAATAATCTATATTCATATTCTAAAATCCATACATTTCTATTGTTTGACCACTATTGTTCAACCTTTCATGCCTATGGTAAATGATTCTGACTGCACCTTTTATTATTTGTTCTCATATTTAACTTTTGTATATTTGTATATAATGTATATTTTAATATTTTATGAGTTAAAACTTTCTTCACAAAGTAGCTGTGATATTTATTGTGGCAGTTTAAAAAGTACCCACACTATACTAGCTAAGTTAAGACAATCTGTAGTATAACCTACAGTAGCCTGGGTTATATTCAAAGGCATTGTGTAGCCCAAACCCCATGAAAATAGTTAATTCTTCATGTCCAAATATCATTATTTTCAGAAAAAGTGGGGCCTCTCAGTTATGATTTTAAAAAGCTGCTCCAATTCTTACTTATAAAACCAATACAGCACTATTATACCATCTGTTAAGGTAGCCACGTTAGCTGGAAATACTGGAATAGAAAAGGTGCAGAAGATAAAAATGGGGAGAGTTGGAGACAATTTCCCACATCAGTTCAGGCATGGTGGTTAGGTTATACTTAGGTTATTCTCAGGTACATGTAAAGCTGCTGTATTAAAGGGAAAACATAACAAACACAGGTAATGACTTCGTAAGGCAGAATTTAAATAGTCTGGATTTTTTTTTTTTATAAAATGTGAAATAAAAAAGAAGAGTGAACTACATGATAAATAAATATAATAGCTGGAGTTCAGATGCTAACAGATTGTATTAACATCGAGAATAACCACACAAACCTTTCAGAATAAAGTAATATTGTAAAAAGTTTGTTCTTATTTTCTGTTTTTATCAATGTTTGTTATAACACCAGGTTTCTATAGTGATAATGCAAAAATTAAGAGGAACTGGGAAGACTAAAAATATGGGATTATATAATAAAGGTATGAATACAAGATGTTAAAAAATAAAATATCTCTCAATAAACTTCCAAAAAGAAATTCAGCTAGTCCTCGACTTACAACAGGTTATTTAGTGACTGTTCAAAGTTAGAACAGCATGATCACTTTTTGTGACCATCTTACAAGCAAAGTCAATGGGGAAGTCCAGTTCACTTAACAACCATGTTACTAATTTAACAGCTGCAGTGATTTACCTAACAACCATGGCATAAAAAGTTGAAAAATGGGGCAACATTCACTTAAATGTTTCCCTTAGCAACAAAAATGTGGGGCTCAGTTGAGGACTACCTGAATATGGTTGAAAACCTTAATGTTGTTGCAGTTCTAATATAAGAATAAGCTTACAATCATATAAAATCTTTTGCTTGCTTGTGTGGGATTCATTTATGAGACTACCAGTAGATTTGGAGTTGTTTATTTTTCAGTCAAAGCGTTCATCCTTGGGAGAATATTCTGTTTGGATCTCCTTATTATACTCGTTGGAAAGTATGGCCAGGGGACAGATTTTGTAATATCTGCATAAATATGAGTAGGATTGCATTGTGAGTCTCTGGTTGTTTTTCCTCCACAGCAAGAGAATTGCGCTGCCACTGTGTGAAGGTCTTTTCCCATGGAATTTCAACCGGGTCCATTGCTTCTGTGGATTTCATACCTGAGGGACCGCATTGCATTAGGCCTGAAGTCATGTAAGTGCCTAGGGCTAGCCTGCTGCATTTTAGTTACTGTAGGCCAGGCAAAAGCTGTTTGACCTCACTCAGAAACTAATGTTATTCTTTCCACTGTCACAGACTCACCAGGAAAGATGGGAAACAATTCTGCCTGAATACGACAATGCCATGGGTTCAGAGGGTTATCCAAAGATTTACAAAGGTATTTATGAAGATTGTTTAGTAGACCTGCATGTAGAAACCACATTCTAGTATACCGCAGGTGTCAAACTCGCCACATCATGTTGCCGTCACGTGATGTTTCACGATGTTTTTCCCATTTGCGAAGGTGGAGAAGTATGACCCCATAGGCCACCAGTTTGACACCTCCTGTACACCTTAGCTATAATTCAGCAACAGTAATTGTTTACTGAAGGTAGTGAGATTTTTAAGCAACCTGAATAAAGGATTGCTTTTTTTGATAGACATCTGAATTCTTCTTTTGTTCATATGATATTGCAATATGTTTCATACATTATGTGTGAGTACACACACACACACAATTAGATGATTTTAACAATGCCATCAACAGTGATAATATAAATGCAGTGTGATCAGCAAGAAAATGTATTTATACCTAACAAAAGAGGTCCTATAAACACAAGATGTGTTGGTGCTCTTAAAAATGTCATTACAAAACAAAATTAGGGTAAGATGGTCTGTGGCAGACAGAAGTAGTAAGTCTATCACTGAGACTACAAGGTACATGGACAAGAAAGAAAAAGTTGTATGTGGCTGAGACAGCTTTGCCTTTTTCTGCTTCTCATGTTTTCAATTATTTCTGATCTCTTGCAGCGAATTAGTAACCTGTGACCCAAACACTATTGTTTGGCTATGTAGCTGCAAGAATAAATACCACAATTGTGAAGAGAGAGAGAGGAAGAAGGAAGAAAAAATTTGGCAGAAGAAGACAACCCAAAGACTCAATTGAGTTCCAAAGACTCAATTCCCAAAGACTCAATTCCTTTAGCGGTTCCCACTTTGTTGTATTTATTATTCAAACATATGTTAATGTATTAATTGCTACCTCTCCATATCAGTATTTGTTGACCATGACCATGTTAAGATGTGTGGACTTCAACTCCCAAAGTTTCCATACAGTTAAAATTCCAGAGCCATGCTCTCATGGCCATCTAAATTTCTTCAATTTACATGATATACTGGTAGTCCTCAACTTATAGTCATTTGTTTACTGATTGTTCATAGTTATAACCCTGAAAAAAGTTAATTACATCTGATCCTTGCACTTATGACCATTGCACCATCCCCATGGTCATGTGATCTGCATGTAGGCACTTGGCAAGTGGCATTTATTTATGACAGTTGTAGCAACCTGGGATCATATGATCTTTCCAGCTAATTTCCAACAAGCAAAGTTGATAGGAAAAGCTGGATTCACTTAATGACCACATGATTCACTAAACAGTTATAATGATTTGTTTAATCATGGCAAAAAAAGATTGTAACTTTGGGCACTTACTCACTTAACAATTGCCTTGCTTAGCAACAGAAATTCTGGTCCTTACTGTGATCTAAAGTCAAGGGCTACCTCTATATTACACATTGAAACTAATAGATGTTTGATTACCTTATTGAATGTAATAATAGGTTATAAGCCATAGTGGAATTTATTTAAAAAGGTGGGATATAGAACTGTTAATAAATGCATACCAAAAAGTGTAAGGATAAAATTGTCTGTGCCCTATGCTTTCCCTGACAGCCTTTTTATGCCCTATTCATTTCAATGGAGCTTACTAAAGAACTAAAGGCTAAATGCAACAGCCATGTAAAAACATTACCACATTTTGACAAATACTTATTTCTATCATGTGGGTATCTTTTTTAAAAATTTGATGATGTTATATTTTCAATGAAAGTTTTAGAAAGAATTTCAATACAACAATTTATGTGGAAACATTAAGCAATGTTTTAAAACAACTTATTTAGGTCTTTTTAGGTTCATCTTGCATTGCCAAATTACTTTGAAGCTTTGTGGATTTGTTATTTTTGGAATACAAAAATATGTAACTACAATAAAGGCGCATAGTAGAAATTAAACATTTAAAAATATGTAACTTGGAGCTGATTTATATTAATCACTTTGGTGCATGACATTTTTTCTGGTAATTAATTTACCAATGCTCAATAGTCCAGTTCAGAATAGAATAGAATAGAATAGAATAGAATAGAATAGAATAGAATAGAATAGAATAGAATAGAATAGAATAGAATAGAATAGAATAGAATTCTTTATTGTCCAAGTGTGATTGGACACACAAGGAATTTGTCTTGGTGCAAATGCTCTCAGTGTACATAAAAGAAAAGATACATTCATCAAGAGTTGAGAATCATAAGGTACAACACTTAATTATAGTCATAGGGTACAATAAGCAATCAAATCATACTAGAAAACAGTCAATATAAATCGTAAGGATACAAATGACAACTTTGTTTCAGTCATACAGTCACAAGTGGGAGGGAATGGGTGATAAGGAGTGATGAGAGGATTAATAGTAATGTAGATTTTGTAAATAATTGGACATTATTAATCAATTATCTACATGTTCTTTTTTATGTTGCTTCTTGGACCAAGTGAATCATCAAGATACTATGTGACACATTATTATTTTATATATTACAAATTTAATGAAATTGTTAACAAGCTGCAGTTAATGTAAAATAATTGAATATCATGATAGAATGTCTTTTAAAAAATAAACACTTATATCTGATATTGTTTCCCATGTACTATTTTGAGGGCAGCTATTATATTCTCCCAGAAGATTCTCCTAAAAAAGATGACCGAAACAGATATTTCATCCTTTCTTTTAGAAAGAGAAAAAAAAGCCCACTAAAATTTAAACACATCAACTTCTCACTTATACCAGGCAAGCAGATTATCAAGCAATATGTTTTCAAGCACTTATGCAAGCATGCTTTAATTAACAGGAGTCAGCATGAGTCTTCATGAAGAAATCATGCCAGTCTAATCTTATCAGTTTTATAAACTGATTAGCTTAGTAGATCAAGGATATACTTTACACTCAGTGAAGCCTTTGAAAAAGTGTTTCATGATGTTCTATTCCATAAAATGGTAAAATATCAGCCAGAAATTACTCCTATTAGATTATTCAGTTGACTGAATGACTGCATCCAAAGAGTCCTCATCAATCACTCCACGTCTTTGTTTGCAGATAATACTAAATTTGGAGAGGTTCAAAAACATTTAAGCAGTCTTAGACTGAAAAGAAGGATATAATTTAATAGAGACATGTAAAGTTCCTAAATGGATAGGAAAAATTGGCTTGGCAGTAATAGATCTGAAAGGGGCACCATACGTTAAACCTAAATCAGCAATGCAATGAGGATGTAAAGGAGGCAAGACCTACCTTATGGTGCATTAGCAGAAACATTGAATCATTGGCAAATAATGGTTTCATTCTAATTGTTTTACAATACAGTGTTGTGCCCTGGTCAAGTCTCATCTGGCATTATGTGGCAGGATAGTTCCATAGGACAATAATAAGCTGGAGGAAATTCAAAGAAAGGCGGAATGGCTTTCATGGCTCTTCATGATAATGAAGAGTCTGCAGGTCACGCCTTACGAGGAGAGTATAGGCATGTTTTGCAAGCAGAAAAATCAGTTAATAAAAGGTATAACAGCAGTCTTCATATATCTGAAGGATTCTCACAAAGAAGTGGACTTGTTTTCTATTGTCCTAGAACGCATGACCGGAATCAATGAGTTAAAATCATTCATGGGAGAAGGGTCAGGCTAAATAATCAGAATAGCTTTCTGACTATAGAAGCTACCAAGCATCAAAACAGGTTGCTTCATGAACTTGTGAGTTGTGACCTTCCTGAGAGGTCTTCAGAAGAGAAACTCTGTGATTATCTGCAGGGGACATTCTAGTGGATTCTACTAGAGGTGAGATCTGTCGTCCAATCCTATAATTCAAAATGAGACTTAAATCATGCTACTATTAGATAAATAAATAAATAAATAAATAATTCAACAATCATATAACATCAGTGATTCTGCATCACGCTGTAAGGAAATACAGCATCAAGATTACATTCAGAATATTGCATGTGGGTCTGGGTACCCTATTTTAGAAAGGACTTTTTCAAATTGGAATGTGTCCAAAGAAGAATAATCAAGACAATAAGGAGCTGGGGGGGAAAATGTATGAAGAACAACTGAAGTTACTGAATGTATTTATTCTGATAAGAAGAGACAACCAGGAGACATGATATATATCTTCAGACATCTGAAGAACTAACATGAGGAAGGTGGGGCAGAATTTTCAGAGTTGTTCCAGAAGATAGGCATTTCCTAATAGTAAGAGCTGTGGAATGAAATAGACTGCTTTGAGAGGTGGTGAACTATCCTTCACTAGGCATGTATGAGTAGATAGAGAGGCTGGATGGCATCTGTTAGGGATGCTGTAGCAGTGGATTTCTGTGCTGGGCAGGAGGTTGGACCTGATGATCTCCAGTATCCATTCCAATTTTAAATAATGTTTCTTTTATTCCTCTACTCTCAGCATCTCATAGCACACACTTCCCTATATATGCAAAAGGAACATTCAACTGTGGAAGCAAAAATGTCACCCACAATTGGAAGTGGTTAATTCATAGATAGGTTTATTGTTTCAAATGAAAAAATAGAGTAATAGACTTGGAAGGGGCCTTAGAGGTCTTATAGTCCAACCCTCTGTTCAAGCAACAGATCTATGCCATTCCCAACAAATAGCTGTCCAATCTCTTCTTAAAAACTTCCAATGGATTACCCGCAAATTCTGAAGAGAAGCCATTTCACTGATTGATCATTTTAACTATCAGAACATTTCTCCTTATTTCTAGATTGGATCTCTGATTAGTTTCCATCCATTGTTCCTTTTCCTGCCTTCAGGTGCTTTGGAGAATAGTTTGACACCCTCTTTTGGGGGCAACCCCTTAGATATTGGAAGACTGCTTTCATGTCACCCCTAGTCCTTCTTTTCTTTTCTTTTTTCCAAATAAATTTTATTAAGTTTCCAAATTTTAAAAAACATAAAACAAATCTTTATACATTATTATCAACATCAAGACATCTTTTGCATTTCTTCACATTTTTCAGTATATGTATTAACTTATTCCTTTACCATTGCATCTTGCTCTTAGTATAAATCGATATCTTTTATCCTTACATTTCAATCTTCTCCATGGTATATTTGCATATTTACATATTTCCTCATTCTTTTCCTAATTGCCATTTTATTTTATTTTTATTTCTAAACCACTCATACCAGGCATCCCAGGCCCTATAATAAATTGAATCTTCTCTGTCTTTTATTTTCATCGTTAGCCTGTCCATCTCTATACAATCTATTATTTTTTTAATAACCATGCCTTCAGGTAGAACCCTTTTTTCCTTCCAGAGTTGTGCGTACGAAATCCTTGCAGCTGTTAATATATGTAACATAATATATCTATCTGTTTTATTGCATTTTTGTGTTATTATACCTAATAAAAAAGTTTCCGGATTAAATTCAAGTAAGTAATGTTGAATTTTTCCCTCTGGTACGTCTTCCCTACTATATAGTTCCTCAAAAAAACTTTTAACAATATGTTTTTTTCTTTTCAGTTTGATGTAGCGTACCATCAGCGTCCTTCAATTGTTGGATTGCTCTTTTTTCTTTTTCTTTCTTAAGTCTATAGGCTAGCCACCTTCCTGGCTTATTCGCGTGTTCAAAATAATTCTGTTTTATCTTTTTCATGTCCTGTAACCATTCATCTTGTGCTAACATGTTCAATTTATGTCTAATCAGTATCCTCTCCGTATTTGCTGTCTTATTATGT